TCCCCCCGCTTTGTTTGCCGCTATTCTTCCGCCCGTTGTCATTAACAGCTATTAAAATAATAAGGCTGCACGGGACCTGAGGGGCGACCTGGGGGCCGGGGGAGAGGCAGGGGGGCCAGTTTCGGAAAGGGGGTGCGGGAGCGTCCGCGCTGCCGCCTCCGCCCGGCTCCGCGCCCCGCCGCCCCCCCGCGCTTCCCGTCCGCGCTCCAGCGCGCTTCAGGCTGAGCCCCGACGGGCCCGTGGCCCTTCCTGGCCCTTTCTGGCTCTCCCGCTTCCATCTGAGCCCGGTTTATCCCGGGTAGAAGGGGGGCGGTCGGAGCCCGCACTCTTTTAATATTTCACCGCGGTCGACACCAAACCCACAAGAAGAGGGAAAAGTGAGCGAAACGAAGCAAAGTAAAAATAAAATAATTTTTTGAAAAAATATTTAGATAGCCCCTAGGTACCACCGGTAACCGAGGGGCCTGTCTCGGGGGGAGGACACCTTGCCGGGGAGGCTTGAGGGGAAGGAGGGGGGAACTTGTGCACTTGTGCCTGCTCTTTCCTGCGTCCCGGGGCTCATTCCCTCTCTCCTTCCCTCCCTCCTTCCCTCCCTCCCGGCGAGGAGAGGCTTTGGAGCCGCCGGCGAGCAGAGCCCTGCTCCCCCGCTCCCTTCCCCCGGGAAGTTTGGGAACCGCCGACCGGAGGCGGCTTTGCCCGGGCATCTCCCACCCACGGGCGCGTTGCGGGGGGCGAGATGTTTGCTGGACTGCGGGGCGGCGAAGCAGCCCTTGAAACCCGCCGAGCAAACAAACATCCCCCCCCCATCCTGCCCCGCCGGACCCGCTTCTCCTCGGCGCCCCAGCGAGGCGCCCGCGGCTGATGGTTCACAAGTTGGAGTCCTCATTTCTCCTCAATAAATGTTTTTTTTCGGGGGACAAGCGCCGTTCCCCGGTGGGGAGAAAGTCCCACGGAAGCAAAAGGGAGTTTTCCCCTGCACTTGGCTACGGGATGGGGCCGGGAATCGTTAATTCCGCCAAGGTTAAAGTGGGTCCCGAAGGTGAAGCCGGGTGCCCCAGCTGAGGGAGGGGAACACCATTCAGGCTGTGCAGCCCTCTCCCAGCAGCATCCAGGGATGCCCGGCGTCCACACCAATTTAAACCAGAGGAGGAGCGATGCCCGGTACCTGCGCTGCGCAGGATTAGCCCTTGAACACATAACTCGTTGGAGAGGAGGTGACAAGCGCAGCGGGCTCCCTGCGGGAGGGAAGGGGAAATGCCCTCAAGATGGGCTCCCCGTGCCCCCAGGTCTGTTCCGCAGGTGGAGCACGAAGCGCCGGCCCCTGCCCCCGGCACTGGCACCGGGACCGGCACCGGGACCCGCAGCGGCGGGGAGAGGCGGCAGCGCTCGGTGCCGGCCCCGGCGCTGCGGGAGCGGAGAGGCAGCCCCGGATGGTGCTGTCCGGGATGCTGCTCCCCACCAAAAAAGCTGGGGGGGGGAACAGTCCTGGGGGGCCTTCACCTTGCAGATAGGAGGGGCAAGACGCGGACGGGGGTGGTTTTGGTGAAGGGTTGCAGGTGGGAAGAAGGGACGGGGGCTCCGGTCTCCCCGGTCACCCCACAGATTTCTCTTGAAACGAATTGGGTTTCACTGTCACGTCTAAATCCTACAAACGTGGCTGGCTTTGGGAGCAGATGCCTTCACTTTTTTACGAGTCTCTTGAAGTTGTAACATTCCTAATCGACAGCAGATCTTCGCTGTGGAAAAGCGCGGCGTATTCCCTGCGTGTCAGTGCTAATAGTGGTTTTGTATCCCGTTCCCGGTATTAGGTTCCCCACCGTTACAAGTTGACATAATGCAAATTAGCAAGGGACATCATAAAAATCCGTCCGAGAATAAAGGTTTTGGAACAGCATACCCTTCGTAACTTAAACAGCAGATATTTAAACCAAATGCACTTAACAAGACAGTTAACCTGAAACTTCAGTTCAATCGCCAGTGGGTTGACAAGTCCAAATATTTTTATTTTTTAACAAATACGTAAATATCAGACTGTATGTTATCCAGGCAGCTTTCAGCTGCAGCTTCCAGCAATATTCTGTGTTGGAATAATATCCCAACGACCCGCTTTGATTATAAACCCTTTTCGCGTGGGAATAATTTTCTGTGTCTCCCTCCCCCCTAAACACTGAGATCTTTTACTGCCCTTTATTTCCATGTTTAAGTATTTATTTCGGAATGATGGTCTCTGTAACTGGAAGTACAATTTTTATTTTTTTTTTTTCCTTAAAGGCAGCACGGGCAGGTATCATTGCTGTTGTTGTGTTTACCACCTCAACTAATCTGCTACTTTTCTGAAGAGAATTGCGATTTTTGTTTTATTAATGTACGCACCCACCCCTAGCTATACCAAGGTTCTTCCTCTGGGAAAAGCGAAAACTCCGGTTAGAAGAGCACATCTCCGGTCTGTTTCTTGGTTTAGGGACACTTGGGGATCCTGCATTCGCGTTCTGACAACAAAACTTGAAAACCATTTTTGAGAATGCAAAGTTATTCGAAGGCATCAACTGAGAGAATCGGGCACAGGATCACACTCTCGATATTTAGACCTCCGGAACGGGAATAAAAGTGTTAGGTTTTGGGGGTTGGGATTTTTATTTTGTTTTTT